CTTTCCCTCCCCCAGGCTTAGCAAAATGCTGGCCATTCTGTACATGTGAGACATTTTGCAGACATTTATGCTTGGGGTTCCTAACTGAATACAATGGAAGAGAAATTTCATATAGAAATGGAAGATTTCTCATAGTAATTAGGAAGAGGTGAGGTGTCTTAAGTTCTGTAACTGGGTAAAACACCAGAGTCTGTAACCTCGTTTTTTGTTGGGCCAGATTGTTTCTTGTTGAGGTAAATACAATATAGGGTGGATCCATGACATCAATGTGTGTCCTACAGAGGAGGTTCTGCGACTGAGAAACAGGAAGAAAGTAGTAATTTTAAAATACTACTTTTTATCTGAAGTCCTTTGACATATTATATGCTTTCTTAGTTGCCTTGACCAGGTTTGTGCATGTGCTGGGACTTGTCTCTGGGTGTTTTTGATACACACACAGGAGAGGCTGACAGCAATTAAATTGTCTAAAATACCAGCAAGAGTCTGTGCATTAATATAGACCTTCAGATTTTTACTGGCCTGTACCATTATATTGCTCAGGTTTGTACTACTTCAAACACTGTCTTTGCCATCCTAAAAGAAATCAAGTTGTCTGGCATCCTGGTGTACAGCCAGATGACATTCAGAATTTGAAATAAGGATTTAGAATTGAAATAATAATTGAAATAAATTGAAATTGAACTATTGTGAAAATCTGAATTGGCAGGATTTGTTTAATATTTTCTTCCAAGAAAAGTTGTTCTTTAGCCTTCCAAAAATAAATTACCAGCTCTTGACCCTTTCTACAGAATGGTGATTTTGCTGAAACAGAAAAAAATATTTTTCACAAGTTTACAAATACAAAAGTTGCTTCCCTGTGCAAGGCAGTGTTCCCTGGGAGCACTGAACACAGTTTTGTGGGTCTGATTTTTCTCAGTCTTAGTCTTTGCTGATAGATTTCTACACAATATTCTCTGTGTGCTTATTAGCAGAGAGTGAGGAAGAGGATAACAATGAAATGGAGGTTGAAGATCAAGACAGTAAAGAAGCTGAAAAGCCAAATGTCATCAACTTTGATACCAGTTTGCCAACGTCACATGTGGTACGTTCTCTGTGTATCATCCATTAAATACATCTTGAAGAGGTTTTGATTAGTTTTATGTATTCTATTGTAATATCCTTAAGCCAAAACCCTAATTTTATTTTGCCCTTGTAAATCATAGAATAATAGAACCATAGAATCACTTAGGTTGGAAAAGACCTTCAAGATCATAAAGTCCAAACATTAACCCTGCTCTACCAAGTCCAGCACTAAGCCATGTCCCCAAGCACCACATCTAGATGAATAAAAAACTTACTCAGGGATGGTGACTCACCCACCCCTCTGGGCAGCACCTTCCAATGTCTGACAACCCTTTAAGTGAAAAAGTTCTTCCTAATGTCTGGTCTAAACCTCCCCTGGTGCAGCTTGAGGCCATTTCCTCTCTTTCTATCACCAGTTACTTGTGAGAAGAGACCAGCACCTACCTCTTCACAAGGTCCTTTCAGGTAGTTGCAGAGGGTGATAAGGTCTCCCCTCAGCCTCCTCTTTCTTCAGACTAAACATTCCCAGTTCCCTCAGCTGCTCCTTATAAGACTGATCACCTAAACCTCTTAGCTGCTGTCATTTCCTTCTTGCTGTTTTCAGTATTTAGGTTCTGATATGGAAGAGTTTCATGGGAGAACAGTGCACGATGATGACAGCTGCCAGGTGATTCCTGTGCTGCCCCATGTGATGGTGATGTTGATCCCTGGACAGACGCTGCCCCTGCAGCTGTTCAGCCCTCAAGAGGTTAGCATGGTGCGGAATTTAATTCAGAAAGACAGAACCTTTGCTGTTCTTGCATACAGGTAAAATACACCAGTGGGCTTTCTGATGGTATGCAACATGGCTTTTTAGCACAATTGCTTTGAATACTAAATGAAAAGCAGATGGTTGTGCCAGTTCTGGGGTGAATAACAGACACTGTAGTTTGGAATCGTTTGTCAGAATTTGTTCTCCAATAAGTACTGAAAAGGTTTTCATGCTGTGTTGGGTGTCTGCATGACATTGTCACATGGTTGTAGAGAGAAGCAGCAAGAGTTGATCTGCTTTCCTTCTTTAAGGGTCCTTTTGAGTTCAGTAACTGCTGAATGCACTGCTCCATCTTGCTTAAAGAATAAGCCTTGATCTGAATTGTAAAGATCAGCTTCTTTTTTTGAGAACTGTATTGTTAGAAGGGTGTCTTTTCTTGTTTTGTGTATAAATTAACAAGCACAGACAAATTGGAGTTGAGAGACAGGAGGTGATTGAAGAACAGAAAGAGAGGCTAATCTGTGCCAAAAGAAGTTGGGAGGTTACTTCAACTTCCCTCAGTTTGCTAGGATTGAATTATGTAGGAGGTGGGAACAGTTCTTTTTAGAAAGTCAGTCTAAAAAACTTCAGTACTTTCAGTATCTGCATTTCAAATGCAGATCATTGGTGATTCCTGTGTTCCCAGAATTTCACCTCTAGGCCCTAAAATAAAACCAAGTCAGCTGGCAAAAACCCCCAACGAACCAAAACATTAGCTGTTACTTTTGAAGTGGAGAAATACTGATTGCAGTTAGTTGAAGGTACTTTACCAAATTCACAGGTTTGGTAAGACTAGTGTGCAGTCAATGCAGGTAGAGCAGCTTGTGAAATGTGGCTGGACTGTGGGGGCTGGAGGGGAGGTAACCTTTTATTTCTGTTACTTCTAGCAATGTACGTGAGAGGGAAGCACATTTTGGGACAACAGCAGAAATATATGCCTACAGAGAGGAACAGGAATATGGAATTGAAACAGTCAAAGTGAAAGCAATAGGAAGACAGAGATTCAAGGTGCTTGAAATAAGAACCCAGTCAGATGGGTAAGAAAATAATTTATTTAGTTTTATGTTCTTCTCATCTTGTTTCACCAAAACATTTACATTTTACTGCAGGTGCATCTGCCCCTTCAGTCACACAATTGACTAATTAATATAGATACTAATCTAGTACTAATCTAAGTATTTAATCTATAGTACCAATCTAAGTAATTATTAAGGACTTCTGACACTTCCTGTTGTAAGACTCATGTTTCAGTTGTTACTAACTTTGCAATAAAATTGTTTAAAGGATGTCTACCTGTAGTTTGATTTGTTGTTTGAGAAAATCAGAATGATTTTGTTTCTGAAAATTAAGTCAGGAAACAGGTGTTGATTTGCCTGCATGATAAATTCTAAAGCTTCATGTCAAAATCTCTCATGTCTGCCTTCTGTTGCATTGTGGAAAGCCTCCCTGATAGCCACCAGATTCTTTTCCTTTGCAAAACTGTGACTTTCATTTTTCTGTAAGGAGACCTTTCTAGAGATGGTCTGCACTTCATAGCTGTATGTGTCATTGCAGCTCTGAAGAGCTGCAGGCCAGGGTATGGCACTACAGCTAATAACAATATACTTGCCTATTTTTGTACTTGGAGTGATCTTTACTGAGGCTCAGCAGCATGCAAAAGGAGTCAGCTGCATGATTGGGGAGTAGTGAGGACAATAACTGTGCCCTGAGGAGAGGTGGTTTTCATGAGAAGCTGCCCATGAAAGGGGTGGACTGGAGTCTGGTAATGATAATGGAGAAACAAGTTGCTTCTCTTGTTAATTTTTCCCTTTGTAAGACATAAAAGTATGCTGAGGTTTCTGGATAAATATTTGAAAAAGAATATAGGTCCTTGATTTTTGCTAACTACAAGCAGACCATCATTTTCAGTCTTTCAAATAATAACTCTTGTTTGCTTTAACCATTGTCACAGTTCAGTACATCCTGACCTTCAGCAGGTCTGACCATTCACTGATACTTCACTGATAGAAACATGCTACTTCTGCTGTTACTGGTTGACAGTTCTTTTCATGTCTTGTCAAACACAATCAAATCAGCTTTGACAGGAATATTCTCTTGTATGTTCTAGTCCTTTTATTTTCCATATTCCAGTGTGATATCTGTGATGTTTAAAGGCCCCTCTTCTAGCCAGGTTTATCATATTGTGTAATTGATACCTTTGTCCATATATAAAAGTGACTAAGACCCTTAAAATGGAGTTAAGATAATAGTTCTTAGCACAATTGCTAGAGGTTTTTGTAATCTTTTCTGCAAGACATGTAACAAACCTGTAAATCTAAAACTCCTAATCTGTGTTCAGCTGTTGCTCAGTGTACTGCTTTGGACAGAGGCCTAGGAACAGTTGGAGCTCAGCATTTTCATATGCTTTTATGACCTGCAGCTGAAGAGTATAAGAATACATGTGCAACTTGCTATTCCTCACTCTCTAACATTTGGTTACAGATAATATTCCAGATTTTACAGTTTAGGAAGACCATTGCTTGCACACAAGGTGGCAGTACTTGGACAGCTACAGCAGCAAGGGCATTGTCACTGAGAAGTTAGTATCCAGAAACAGCTCAGATGTACAGTGATTTTGTTGTGCTGTTAAAGGATTTTATTGGATTATTTCCTATCAGCTGACTAGCAGAGGTTACTTTTACACGGCATGTTCACAAGTTTCATTCATAAATATGAATTTTCAAGCATATGAAATAAAGGAGATGAGATTGATTTTTCTCACCATGGCTAACTCTGGATTTGTTGGAATGACTTAAACTATATAGCAAGTTTCATTCATAAATATGAATTTTCAAGCGTATGAAATAAAGGAGATGAGATAGATTGATTTTTCTTACCATGGCTAGCTCTGGATTTGTTGGAATGACTTAAACTATACAGTTACTCTGCTTTCAAGTACTGCACATTTTATGGGTTTCAACTTAGTTGTATTCAACTAAGAAAAGAAGCAAGCAATACCAGTCTGAAGTCCTTTTTGATAAAGAGGGGGAAGTATTGAGCTTCTTAGCAAGAATAAAAATTCCACAGTTCTGGGCATTCCTCATTACTAAGTGGTTAAGGCAAGGCATAATTTTATAATTTATAGGGAGTTAACAGAGGTCTGTATTGTCCCTGTAAGTAATGACATGCATCCTAATATTTCAGGATTTCTGAGGCATAACACCCTATAAAATGTAAAGTACATCCTGCTGGACAACATGCTTAGAGCATAACTTCTGAACTCTGAGCAGAGTTGGTGACCTACCTGGTTGATGCTGGGATGTTAAAAGATGATCAGAGTCCATATCCTATTTCTGCTGATTTGAACTCTAGCTGAGCTCGTCAGCTTTTGTGATTTGAGGATAACAAACTGCATTTCAGCTCAACTTCCTTTCTGAGGGCTTGAGCTGCCTATTAGTGTAAACCAAAAGTAACCTGAGACAAAAGTCTAAAAATACAATGCTGAAATGGTGGAATATCCTGTGTTGCCACTGCCAATCTGTCTTTAATTCTGTCTGCCACAAACCCAACTCATACCTGCTGCTCTAAAATACAAAGACAGCCAATTGTATCACATGGAAAAGGGAGCTAACTGAGAGAGGAGAGAAAAAAAAAGCTTAGAAACTTCTGCAGTTATCTTTGTAGAGTTTGGTGTGCCAGTGCAAAAGTATTTGGTAGACAGCTCATTCTTCTTTGTAAAGGAAAAATAGAGACTGCTTCTGTCTCAATTTATATACACCAAAGTCCATTCATCACAGTGGCTTTAATAATTTTGCCAAGGGGATGAGAAAATCCGTGTTCTAACCCGGAGTATGTTTGGTTTGCTGCAGATATGCTGTATGTTCCCTGAGGTAATTTGATTTACAACTTTTAAAATCTGGATTGCTGTTTAATTTCTATAGTACTATGTGGTGATTATCATGGAACCCCTAGATGGTTGGGCTGAAAGGGACCTTAAAGATCATCTAGTTCCAAGCCCCCTGCATGGGCAGGGACACCTCCCACCAGCCCAGGCTGCTCCAAGCCCCATCCAACCTGCCCTTCAACACTTCCAGGGATGGGGCAGCCACAGCTTCCCTGGGCAACCTGGGCCAGGGTCTCACCAAATTTCTTCCTAATATCCCATCCAAATCTGTTACACAAGCCTAAGTTTTTATAAGCTGTGGAATATATTTTTTAAAACTCTGATACATGTGTGTAAGTGTCTTTTTCCCCTTCCCTCAGGATCCAGCAGGCTAAAGTGCAGATCCTTCCCGAGCGAGTGCTGCCCTCCACCATGGCAGCAGTGCAGCTGCAGTCTCTTAGCCGGTGCCACATGTTTCCTTCTTCAAAACCTACAACATGGCAGGACCGGGCTGTCCATCAGTGGTGGCAGAAATACCAAAAGGTCAGCAGCTAGTTGTGCTTTGTTTGGTGGGTTTTTTTCCGTTGTAATGGTGTTTTGAAAATGAGTATGAAGTTCCATCTGTTCGTCTTTAGAGGAGGGTGCACAAAGGGGATGCTGGATGCCAACCTCCTGCTTTCATTGCATATTGTGTGAGTGTTTATCAGTGGGGAAATTAATTATTTGTATGATGAGTTCTCTTTGGTTTTAATAATTGCATTGTTATATTATTATAGAATAATGTGATATTACAGTTAATTTTTTACATAATCAAAACAGCTCAGAGTGAACGCTGCTTTTTAATGCTTTTAGATGATGAAGTGTTGGTGAGGGAAAAAAACACTACGTTTGTAAGATTTTATTTGTAGGCAGCTCAAAGAAGCCTCTTGACTTTCTGACACTGCTTTGACAATAAAAATACTGGCAATCATTGTTGCCAATGTCAGTGCTCCTGCTTTGTGCTTGTGTTAATGGCTTGTATTTGAAAGTAGGGAGGCTTTTATAACTGTTTCTCTGTAGCAGTTTGGTTCAGCTAGAAGAGGTTTTCAAAGAGCAGAGGTGGTTTGGAGGTGACTCACAAATTTCAGTGATGAAGCAGACAGCCTGCAGTGTCTTAGTTTGGAATCACAGTTCTGTTTGCTAATTTTGCTGTAAAAGCCTGCATCAGGTAAAGGATGAACTTCTGTACCTGCAGTTACTTGCTTACAGAAAATGTGGATCTGCTTTTTTAAGAAGTATGCAGACACTATGCTTCTGTAGAGAGCTTCCAGAAGTTTATTTACTTAGCTCTGATTTAAAAAAAAACAACAACCCAACCAAAAAACCCCATTCATCAGTAGAGGAGAAATAATAATTATCAAGTTGTTCTTATTGCCATTAGGGAATTAGGTTCTGCTTCTGCTTCACAGGCACAAACTCTGTCTTTGCTTGTTTACACTGTTCTTGCATCACTGCAGCTGTGGCAGTGCTTGGAATCCAGGGGGAATTCACACTGAGATTGTAGGGCAGAATTTCCAGGAGTCCTGAGCTGTTGCCAGGGCTAAGCTGCAAACTTCTGCAATGCTCAGGGGAATAATGAGGTGTGATTTGTGCTGGAGGCAGCTGTGCTGTTTAGAAGGTGCTAAAAGATGCATTCAAACAAGTGAATGTGCACTTCTGCCACTACACAGCCTTTTTCTTCAGGAGTCTGAAATAAAATGTACTGTCAAAAGGATAATTTTGCTGGAATGATTTCTGTTCCCATAACAAGCACCATGCTGGTGGAGCACACAAGTTACACCAGCGTGAGCCTCTCAAGTGTGAATCTGGCTTGTTCTCAAGCTCAGTGTAGGCTTTTCAAAGCCCAGCTAGCAGTGGACAAAAGCTCAGTGTAGGCTTTTCAAAGCCCAGCTATCATTAGCAATGGACAGGGAAGCAGAGGAAGTTAATGGGACAAGAGTTAGCACTGAGGTCAGTGGGAGAGGATGTAGTGGATCAAGGAAGCCTGGCACTTTTCAGAAACTTAAAAAACTTAATGAAGCTGTTGAATAGCTTTTCTGTAGGCTGGCACAAACATTGATGTTCAGTAAGTACTTCTGAAAATGTGACGTCCATTAAAAATAGATAACAAAATGAAAGTGGATAGCAATATGAAATTAAACATCATGACTGTCCAAGTTTTCTTAAGAAATCAGTAATTGTTCTGCTGTGAGAAAGCATCCTCTGAAACTTGCATGTTGGTATGTTTAGTTAAGTCTTTAACTGATTAGTTTTCCATTTAAAAATATCATATATCCTTTGAATTTATATATGTCAGCTTAAAATATCTGATATGGCACATGAATCCTCTTTCATTTTACTTATGCATTTGACTAACTTGGTAAGAATAGTTTAATCACCTTATGTAGTGGTTTGTTGTGGTTGCTGAAGTAGCAGCAATTGGTGGACACTAAGGAATGGATGCACCATTTTTTGACCTATCTGAATTCCAGATAGATGCTCTTTTGCTCTTGTTACTAAACATTAAGAAGACTTTTAATTCTGAGACAGATTTTCTGAGAAAACCTGTATATTGTCTGTCTTGTACAGAAGTCTTAGTTCTCATTGCATTTGGGAGTGGTTTGGTAGCTTCTTACTGAAGTACTGGTCCTGATGGTGGTAATTTGTTGTATGTAGAAATAATCCTATGTCTCTTCTCTGTTTCATTTGTTTGAACAAGAACTGTCCCTAGGATCTGCTAATGTTAAATAATAAATATGTATGGTTTTGGTTTTAGAGGAAGTTCCACTGTGCAAGTTTGACATCTTGGCCTCCCTGGCTCTACTCTCTGTATGATGCTGTAAGTTCACCCTGTGTGTTACCTGCCATTAGTTTTGTATGTTTTAATATAGACTTACTGGATAACATAAAAGTTTAATGTTGTTGGCTCTTAAGTCACCCTTTAAGAAGTGTATAGTTTTCAGTTTACTGTTAAAAGAGCAGGAAGAGTTTCCCCCTCTGAATTGTTCGCTCATGCTAGAGCATGTGGATAACAGAGGTTCAGGATCCTCTTGTGTTGTCTCAGAGCAAAAACTTGATCCTGTGTCCCACGTGCTCCAGGGTGAGTGTCCTAACTACCAGGGTCCTGGATAGTCTGAAGTGGGTCTTTCTGGCTGGGGTTGGTTTACTCTTTAAATGCATACTTCTTTATATACATTTGTATAGTATTTATATTCGTAAATAAAATACTGGGTGTAAGAGAGGCAGAAGCAGGGAAGAGGTTTGCCTTCATCTTGTTTGTGCAGTTCTAGAATTTGAACAGATGTCTCTTTATCTCAAATGAAAATGTAACCATCTTGGGCCACTGGTTCATCCCTGTTTGCTCTTAGATTCAAAACGAGTCTGTAATTCTTGTAAATCTTAAAAGCTAATGTCCACTTAGGGAAAATAGCTTACTCTACATTTTGCTTCCTTTTTTTTTTTTTTTTTTCTAAGAAAACAGAAATACCTATGTATTTAAATTAGGCTTTTCTTCCAACAAAAGGAAACCTTGATGGAAAGAGTCAAGAGGCAACTGCATGAGTGGGATGAAAATCTTAAGGATGAATCTCTTCCAACAAACCCCATAGGTATGATGTTGTTGAGCTTATTACTCAAATTTGGATTTGGGGTGTTTGTTAAAATTCCTAAGAAAGCAAGGCTTACATTAGCATCCCTCACTTCCAGTTTCCAATGAATTTTGATGGTTGACTTTAAGAAGAGGATGTATAGACCTTTTAAAGACATGGACATCCTCCAACTATGCCCAAACATGTTCAATACAAGGAGTAGAAACCCACTTTGCTCCATGGTAGGAGGAATGTGATCTAAATGTTTCATAAGAAAACAAGAGCCAAAAGATCTTGTGAATTTATAAATACATTAGTATGTAATTCTAAGTGTGAGTATGTATATCTTTGTTTTTACTGTGTATGACTTCTTTCCAGACATAAGGGAAAATATCATCAATAACCTAATGGGATCAGATTTCCTGCCTTAGTGGGCATCAGGGTCATGCCCAGTGAACAAGTCTCTTCTCTCTGCAGGTCTCTGGGATTTAATAAGGTGGAAATATCATTTGAAGCCTTTCTAAGGGGAAAATATTTAGTCTTATGTGGGGAGAGAGAAGATGGACCGTTCCCCGTATCACTCTTTCTTGTGTAGACTCTTAAATGCTCAATAAGGAGGAAAGTCAAACTACAGCCTTTGATTAAAGTCAGTTAAGCACCAAATGCAGGTCTGGGCTCATTAGTTTTGTACATGGGACTCTCATTTCTGATTTGCCTAAAGTAGTGGCTGAAAATACTTCCCATCTGCTTTGCCCAGTGTACTGCTTAGAGAACCATAGAGGGAGAGCACATGAAATAATCTGAAAACACAAAAATGCCGTATTTTTGGGCACTTCTTTTCTCATGATTCACATCACATTTCACAGTCATTTGATGAGTTAAATTTTCAGCTTCTGAATTATTTTACAGGCCACAAGGAGTGGGATGATTTCCTAATGATTGTAGTAAAGTCCATTACCCTGTGTTTGTGCCTTTTAATATCTGGTTGAAGTCAGTTCCTGAGAATTTACTATTATTGTAAAGCTCTTTAAAAAACAAACAAAACAACAAAACCAAATAAAACCCCATCTGCTTTCTTGACTGAATATTTTTTATCTAATTTTGGTCTGCATTCAAATGTGGAAAAAAGCCTCCAGCAGGGACTGTATACAAAGTATGTCTTCTTCCTTCTCAATATATAGTAGTAAAGAATATTTTCTTAGTGCTAACATAGGTAATAGAACTTGGTTGTAGTTTATGAAGGAGGGGTATATGTGTTTGAGGGTTTCTTTCATTTTTTCCTTCTCTCATAAAAGCCTGTCTTTCTTTTTGCAAAGGAAATGCAGGCCTAAAGGTAGTTGGAAAGCTCAGTAATTCACTGTCAAAGTGGAAGTCTGTCTCAGACAGTGCTCTCCAGGGTCTGTTCTGCCTTTAGCATCCCTCCCCTAACCAGCATTGTTCTCCATCACTAGTCATCTACATCTGGGTTAGACATATTTTAGAAGAGGTGATGATATTTTAGAAGAGACATGATGAAGAGGATCCTTAGGGAAGGTGGGTGTGGTGAGATGACCTCTGCAGGTCTGTGACACTGAAGTTTTAGCACTCTGAATAGCAGTAGTACCTTTTATTTCTCTCTCAAATTCTAACAGGCCTGGTACTTTCTCATTTCCAGATTTTTCTTACAGAGTTGCTGCCTGCCTGCCCATCGACGACGCGCTGCGCATTCAGCTGCTGCAGATCGGCAGCGCCGTGCAGAGGCTGCGCTGCGAGCTGGACATCATGAACAAGGTGAGTGGGTGGCTCTTGCCTCGCCCTCTGGTTCTTCTCACACAAAAAAGTACAAGTGACTGGAACAAAATGTGTGACAAATGTGTAAGATGTGGGAAACAGTTCTTCTTCTTCCCCACATAAGTCCAGACAGCAGCCCCCCTGGCATCAGCTCACGACACTCGGCTTCTGGAGAGTGTGTTTGGGTACTCTTTTATTTCTTCCCTCCCCTTTTAAAGTTTACTCAGGAAAGAAAAGGCTCTCTTTCAGTACTTCATGTTTGGCAGCAAGCAAGAATCATATAATAATATTTGCTTTTGTTAGAAATCATATTTCAACACATCCTTTTCTGAGCCAAGAGGTGGTGCTAGAAATCCAGTGTTGCTCAGAACCATCTTAGGAGCATCACAACCTCACACTGACAGTGTAACACACTGCAGTCAGGTAGTGTTCTGCCATGGAAACTTGAGTGAACTTTCTAATGACAGATAGATTTTTGTAATATTGAGCTCTTGAGTATAAATTTAATATTGGACTGAAAGGATTGTTGCAAAATACCCGTTAGGCAATACCTTGTTAAGGTGTTGAGAAACTTGTCTTCCCTTCTTTCCATGGCCATGTCATGGCACATTCTTACCTCATAAATTTCTTACATCATCATCATCATTATTATTATTGATAAAGCAACTAAGAGTCAATCAGCCTCCTGTTGAATCCCACTGGTTTAGGAACCAATTTTGCAACAATGTCTCCCACAGTGGTTCAGATTGTGGTTCTCTTTCCAAAAGAGAAAATGCTGGAAAGAAGCATTGTTATAAATACAAGTTTTAACTGTAAACTTGTTTATGTGTTTCATAAAAGAAACACAATATCTTTTTCATACTTCCTCTTCCCAAAGTTCAGGCACCAAAAAATAGAGAAGGGAATTTTCAGATTCTCTTCTGAATTCTGAGACAAAAATAGACATCAGCCTCTGTAATCAGATTAAGCTTCTTTTGTCTTTCCTGAGTCAGAACCTCTGAAAATATTCTGATACTCCAGTACTGATACTAAGAACTGTTCATGTTCAGCACATTGTGCATTTTCTATAAATCCCGAAGAGACAAGAGTACTTCAGTTACCTCATGAAATACCAGGTAATGTTGATATTTGACCAAGCCCAAAAGGTCAACATCATTCATCAACATGGGGTATTTTATTCTGTAAACATGTTTAACTTCTCTGTAATATTCTGAGAATGGTAAAATGCATTATGTTTTTTTACAAATGCAGCAACATTTATTTAAGCCAGGGCTGTTTGATGAGAGGGCTCCTTGGCAGCACAGCCTGTTTCTGGGTTTACTTAAGGAGGAAGGATTTAACACATTTCATTGTACAGAAAGTAATTTAAAATAATGTAAGTGATTGTAAGAGCTGATCTGTTTCCTTTTGTCTTTGATATCAGTGAACTGGTTTGTATTTTAATAGCTTTTTCTGTTATTAAAAACAGTTAAATGATTCTGTGCTTATTGCTAAAGGACTGTACTTCAGTCACAGGTATAACAGTTCTGTGAACTGGGCTTGACAGTGCTAACTGTAGAATTAATAGTAGTGTTCTATTCAGCTGATATAAATGCTTCTTTTCTGGGCAGTGTTAGTGATGAATTATTTCACTCTGCTCTCTAGAAATTATAGAAGATGAATCAGTTCAAATCTTGAAGAGAAAGGTTTGGTTTTTTTTTCCTGAGGAAATTAAAAGCATTGACCTGCAGTACTCTCAAATTTTAGAAAAACTTCCTGATTGCATTTGTACTGATCTATCTTTTCAGTGTTATATTTTAGAAGAACAAGGGGTTTTTTTCCTAAATTAGCTTTTAGAGACCTTAGAACATTGACTCATTTGTTATCTTTCTGTAGTCAGATCATCTGTGGGGATTTTTTTAAGGGGAAAAAAAATCTATTAAATGGTTTTGTCTTTTAGATAACAATGTTTACCATAAATAAGCAAAATGTGTAGAAAATCTTTTCTCCTTTGATAGAAAGAGAAAGCAAGTGACTACTGCCCAGATAAACCAAATGATTGGTACAGTCTGTTCTGGGGGAAGGATAGAAATGTTTATTATTTGCCACTGTGCTGTCTGGAAAGGAATGAAATTGCCCTCTTTGTGTTTTTTTTCAAGTGTACATCTCTCTGTTGTAAGCAATGCCAAGACACAGAAATAACTACCAAGAATGAAATATTCAGGTGAGTTTATTGCTCTTTATCTTTGGGAGGTTCTTGATCAGAAACATGGGCACAGCAATGCAGATTAAGAGCAAGGTTATGTCATAACTATGGTGTTTTCCACAGATCTAATGAAATTTAATGAAGTATTTATAGGGAATTCTATTAATAAAGGAAAACAGGTTGTTTGAGGTTTTTGAATGAAAAGTCAGTAAAACTGGACATCCTCATGTGTGTTGTAGTGGCAGCTGGTGTGAAAGGCCACCTTATGTCACCCGTGATCATGTGAAGGTTAAAAAATGTCTTGGTTTAACAAAGTAAGCCCTGCCCCAGTTTTCCTTTCTCGGCGTAATGAAAAGCTGATTTATTAATTAAAAGCCATTTTTTATCTTCTAATCAAATGATGCATTGACAGCAGAATGATGAGAAGTTAGTGTCCTGAATGCACACTACTGTTTGCTGCTAGAGTAGCCATATAGATGTTAGTTGGTTTTATTGGAAGTTGCTACTCAAAAGCAGCAAGTAAAATAAATTATGAGTCTGTCATGTACTTTTTTTAAAGCTTTTGAGGGAAGGATTAATAGCTACCTTTAACTGAGGTAGTTTCCAGAGCATCCTGTCCACTGTCCTCTAACTTGTTCCCTTTCACAAACAGCTGGTGAGGTTCATCTGAATGCAAGAACATTTTAATCCTTGCTCACAATAATGTCTTGTAAAATACCTCTTCTGAAGTGGGGACTTAAATGATTCCTGTTATCTACTTACTATACCAGTGAGGATTGCATCAGATTTATTACCCTGGATGCATACATTTCTGTATTTATACCAACATTTGACAGTGATATATTCAGTAGCATCTATTTTCTTTTGCTTTTCAATAGCATAATTAAAGGGATTAATTTTTTTTCTCTACTTAAAGCTTAAGGTTGCCCTATTGCTGTGGAAAATAGTTTTAAGCATGGCTGGCAGTCTCTCCTCTGTCTGTCTCTCCTCTGTCATTTGACTGCCTTTGATTTTTGTTTCTTTTTTAACCCTGGCACAATTGTTAATTGTCTGTTGCAGTTTATCCTTATGTGGACCCATGGCAGCATATGTGAATCCTCATGGATACATCCATGAAACCCTCACTGTATATAAAGCCTGCAACTTGAATCTCAGTGGACGACCATCAACAGAGCACAGCTGGTTTCCTGGGTAATAACAGGTTTTTAAAAAATGTCATTAGTACATTACAGAAATTGTCTTGCAGGTGTGTTCCTGGGGCAGCACAACAGCAAATACATGATTTTTGAAATGTACACAGTCATTTTACTCCTACGAAAAATAGGAAAGTAAACTTAGTCTTGCAGAACAAAACGGAAAATTCAGATAGAATGTTTCCAGAATCTCTCTGGAATTTTTTTAATGTGTTGAAATCTTGTAGAATCATAGAATCCTAGAATGCCAGGTTGGAAGGGACCTAAAGGATCATCTGGTCCAACCTTTCTTGGTACTGCTACAGCTGATATGAGGTGGCTCAGCACCATGTCAAGCTGAGGCAGAACTGTCCAATGTGGGGGAATCACCACCTCCCTTGGGAGACTGTTACAATGTTTGATTGTCCTTATGGTGAAAAATACACCTCTTCTGTCCAATTGTCATTTTCCCAGGAGGAAGTTGTGCCCATTGTGTCTTTCCATGTGACTCCTTGTAAAGAGGGAGTCTCCATCTCTTGGCAGCCACCCTTTAAGTTCTGGAACATGGTGATAAGGTCTCCCCTGAGCTTTCTCTTCTCCAGGCTGAACAAACCCAGTTTTCTCAGCCTCTCCCCCTATGGCAGGTCCTCAAGTCCTCTGATCATCCTTGTGACCCTTCTCTGGACCCTCTCCAGTCTGTTTAAATCATATTCTAGCACCCCAGAGCTATGAAGAGGATTGTGATTGTCTGGGAGGCTTTGTGGACAGTTCTGTATAAGCCACAAAGCCTCTTCCTTTGATCCTAAAGTAAATGAAGTGCAAAAGGAAAACATCGTATATAAATGTAGTTATTGTAGCAAGATAGTTTTTACATAAACTGAATCCATGTTACATTAAATTAAAAATCACTAACATTGTATTAATCTGGTTACCTTTGATTATGTTTATTTATATATTGGTGTGAAACAGTAGCAGATTTAAGTGCCAAGATGTAGAAGTTCACCTAATAATGAAAGATCTTGCATCAAAATGTCACTCCACTTTGGTAGCTTAAATTTAGATTTGTTTTTCCAGATAATTGTGCTTCAGGCACTTACTCAAAACTCGGCATATTTAACGCTTAAAAATAACTGAAATGTCAAATTATATTTCAATTCTAGTTTTACAAAAATATTCTTTAGCTATGTTTTCTCCAGGTCTCTTTCCTGTGTGGTCCTTTCTGGACCAGAGTGCCAGGAATCATTCTTCTGTCCCTTTGGCTGTCATGTACTCTTCTAAGCTAGTATAAAATAGTGTATTGCTGTTTTTCAGGCCAGTCCAAGGTTCTTGACTCATCCATGTAGACCTTTACTCTTGCATTTTCTCCTGGATGGTGATTTTTTCTAGGATGACCATGTAGCCCAGTGTGATAACTGGGAGGGTGTCTGGCACATCTCCTACAAGACGTGCGCGCTTTAAAAGTCCCTGAAGAACACCTGTGCCTTACAGTATCTGGAGTTAATTTTTCTCATCCTTACATATTTTCACAGCTTTTTTATTCTATGAGGGTTTTGAAATATTCATGTTGTACCTTTTCAAGCTGTAAAAGAAAAGCACCATTGCTCCATGAAGTGCAATTTCCTGTTAATCCAGGAGTACTTTTATGTCCGTTAAGTAACTTACTCTCGGAGAACCGTGTTCTGACTGTTTTTTAAAGCACACAGCATTTTCATCATCCTGCACTAATAAAATGCTTTAGGCCCTTTCTCTGCTTGAGGGCTGGGCACCTTGATTCCCAAAGATTCTTTGACATTTTGAAGCTTTGAAACTTTGATTCTTTGAAGCTTGAGACTAGTATTCCCTTCTTACCTAACTGAGGGAGCTGTGTGCCAGGATATTTAAAGTGTCTTTCCTTTACATGGTGGCATCAACCTTCTGTTTTGTTTTTGGTAGGTATGCCTGGACTGTAGCCCAGTGCAGAATCTGTGGGAACCATATGGGCTGGAAGTTCACAGCTACCAAAAAGGATATGTCCCCTCAGAAGTTCTGGGGTTTGACACGTTCTGCTCTCCTGCCTCGGATCCCAGAAACAGAGGATGACTCGGGCCATGATAGATCACCCTTACTCTGCCTGTAACCTGCTCTGGAGATGAACAGCAGTTGTCTGTCTCTTACATGCATCTGCTCAGTTCTGCTTCTGATGCTTACTTAAATTTAAAAAACCCAAGAACCCACACCCACACACGAAGACCAACCAACTAAGCAGGTTCACTCCATTTGGGTTTGCTGTGCATCCATGTTACTGTTGTTTCAGGCACAGAGAACTGAAGGTTGAATCTTCAGAGTGACAGCAGAGGAGAGGAGGTGGCATGGGACACCAAGGAATCAATCTGATCCACCTGGACAGACTGGAGACTGAACTTTCTCCCTCTTTCTCTAATTTCAGAAGATGTTTACTGCTGTCAGCTTGCAGTGAAAGAAGGTCAGGGGAAACTAAAATTAGAAAGAAACATATAATTTATGCAATATATCTATGATGGTAAGATACCAGTTACCTGCTGCAGAGTATTTTACATAATATACTTAGAAGTGTTTTTGCTGAGAATCCCCGTTTCTAACTATGTGGAATACTTCAGATTTTGTGCTCATGCTTAGAGAATGGCCATGGAGATAACTATGTGGAATACTTCAGATTTTGTGCTCGTGCTGTTTCTCAGAGAATGGCCATGGAGGAGGGTACAGGACTGATGGATCTCTTCTGGCTGACACTGTTGGTCGTGGCAGTGCTGAAACTGGCAAAAGCAGGAGCTTCCTGCTGTGCAGCTGGAGCAGTGCAGTACCTGACACCCTTGGAAAGGAACCCATGTGAACTATTTGGTCCTCACAAGTTGTCCCAGCTATTTATTCAATTTGACTTTTGAAATCTTGAATTTTAAACTATTTATACAGCATTTACAGGTCAGTACCAGAACATAAACTGCATTGTCATTTGCTGTTGAATGTGCTCATCTTTTCAGCATTATTCTGAAGGTCAGTTTACCAGCACACGTGCCCAGGGTTATCTTCATACACAACATTGGCAATTTTTCAGTTGTATTTATTTTGACAAGGGGGACACAACAGCTCTCTGATTATTTTTTTTCTTTTACACTTTCATATTGTAACACACCATCTCACATTATCACCCTTACCTTACAAAGAGTGAAGGTTCCTAAACAACACAGAAATAAAAGACAGTGCTTTTTTAAAATTTATTTTTAATTAGCTGAAGTGCTGTCTTTCCCACAGAAACTGGGTGCCAAAATGGAGGAGCTTTTGCCACTGATTTATTGATGTGGGGTTTTTGTTTGTTTGTTTGTTTTTTCCCCCTCAGAATGCACTTGGGTGATGGAAACTGATGATCTGGAAGGTCTTTTCCAACATTAATTATGCTGATTCTGTGTTTGTGTACAGATACAATTGGTTTTGTTTTGAAGCTTCATCATTCACGCTCTTCTTAGTGAATCGTCGAGAGCTTGTGTTGTTAAATATGACAGAAGAGACTCAAGATTGAAGTCATCAGCCACTACTTGCTGGTTCTGTCACAGTCCTGCTTCAGAGCTGTGTGGCATGGGCAGGTGGCTGCAGTGCCAGGCCCAGGACAGGCAGGGGGTGGCAGCAGAAAGGTGTGTGAAAAGCTGTTCAGTGCTGCAAGGGTAGTTGATTGTGCCAGGTGTGCAGAGCCTAATGATTGTGTAACTCAGGTGTAAGTCTTTGAAGCCTTCTACCTCTGTGCTTCTGTGATAACTCCTGTTCTCTCCAAAGCCACCTTTAATGCCGCATGTGATGCTGTGTGCAGGGCTCTGACTTGCCACTGTCCTTTGCATAGCAATACTTCTTTGAAGTCAATGCTGAGCAGATGGTTCACTGCCTTCCAGAACACATTCTGGCTTTTGATGGTGTTGCTGTAATAAGCTTTCAAAAGGCTGAAATGATAAGTACTGATGTGAGAGACTGTGAAACCTGTTGGTGGAGACCCACTGCAGTTGTACTTGGCTTTCCCCTCACACCCACACACACACAGACAAAGACACACACACACACAGACAAAGACACACACACACAGACACAGACATACACAGAGTTAGCTGTAGGCTTAGTTTATTTTTTCCCCTCAGAGCTTCCCAGCATCATGTGCTCCCATTCCCCTCAGAGTTTGTTGGTGCCAACAAGGTGTAAGTGCTGTCTCATACCAGGTGTGGTCACTGGGGCCATGGTGGGGGTGTCTGCAAATGATTCTTTTCTCAGCCATCACTGAGCTTCACAGGTTTTTTTTGCTGAGTCTGTTGGTGCCTCAGCTAAAAGGGGCATCCCATTGGCAATGTCTGAACACAAAAATAGGTGTCTTTTTATTTGTATTTGTGTATATATCTATATATAGTCAAGTGTAAATGAATATAATGACGTGAGGTAAGTTGGGATTAAGTTTAGCACTAATTTAATTTTGCTTTTGATGATGCTGTTTAACCTTCTGTGTCATGTTCACTTATTTCCAAGTCCAGGACACGCTGCAGGTTGGAAAAACTGGGGGGCTCAGGTTGCTGTGCAGATGTTGGACCTTGGCTCCCAGAGCTTCACCTGTGGAGCCAGGGCTGGGTCTGGACATTGGGCAATAGTTTCTGTGCTTCTTTTCTCCTTTTGTTTTTGGAGATTTGGATTGTGGACAATTATTACTGACAAATATGGGTATCATATCACTTTGAGAGCTAAATACAAAGGAAATCACATTTTTATCATAAGTTCCTATCTTGACTACATTCATTGGGTGGCTTGGAGCTTCAGGCATTAATTAATCTGATTGACTTCCTGGCTGCTGCCAACAGGGTTGGTTTTCTCTCCTACCATAACCTCTCCCCAGCTGATGGAGATGGAGGAATTGAGTTGGTGCCCCAGCTGTGTCAGGGCTGGTGGAGGGAGGAGGGACAGGAGAGGCACTGCCCTGCACTCAGCAGGTCTTGGCCAGGTTGCAGTTTAGGTAGCACAGAACTGCTCCTCAAGCAGCAGGAGGGTGTCCTACAATCAGAGCCTGTAACATTGCAACTCTTCATATCTTTCTGTTGAATTTTGTAGGTAAGAGTCACACAGGACGCTTGCACACTTGGTCTAAAACATGTTCAACTACTGTTTGTTTTTTAATACAGCTATTTTTGTATGTGCTGCAACTCGTTTTGTTCCTCTCCTTGTTTTTCCACCTGTGTTTAATTGCTTTGTAAATGCTGTGGAAAGGGCAGCACATTCTCTGCTTCAACTCTTCCTGTCTCTGGAGACAACTTTTCAGAACAACGTTGTTGCTTGCAAACATTTGCAAAGAATAAAATTCAGTTTGTTTCAAAACTGAGGTTTGTTTTTTTCTGATTGTTGGGATGTGAAGAGAAAAAAATGTTTGAGCTTACTTCGTGTTAAACTGATTAGCTGCAAAAGGCTCAGCAGAGAGAGGTCCAGCCTCAAGGCCTGTGGACTCCCTCCCCAACTTTCAGTAGTTCAATAAATTGCACAAGGAGGCTTCAACTTAGTTACATAATTAAATCAAACACCGTCATGTTCTTACCAGGTTTCCCTTATTAGCAGAGACAAACTTGTTTTGTTCCCTTGCTGTCTTCACAAAGTTCCCAAGTACCTCCAAATAATTTATTTATGGTAACTAAGAAAATAATAATTACAAAATAAAGAGGCAGCTGGGAAGCTGTCTGTATGAACGAAGCATAAAATGCTGATTTGTCCTGGCACTGCTCTGGTGTTACTGCCATCAAGTGTTGCAAAATGGTATCTGAGGAAAAGTGGAATCAAATAGTTATTTTATTAGTTCCTGTGGTTGTGCAGGAAAACTTCAGCCTGCTAGAAAAGGAAAAAAAAATAAACAGGAAAAAAAACAGAAAGGAAGCAAAGCAAGAAAGAAGAAGAAAGAGGAGGAGAAAGGAAAAAAGAAAGAGGAGGAGAAAGGAAAAAAGAAAGAGGAGGAGAAAGGAAAAAAGAAAGAGGAGGAGAAAGGAAAAAAGAAAGAGGAGGAGAAAGGAAAAAAGAAAGAGGAGGAGAAAGGAAAAAAGAAAGAGGAGGAGAAAGGAAAAAAGAAAGAGGAGGAGAAAGGAAAAAAGAAAGAGGAGGAGAAAGGAAAAAAGAAAGAGGAGGAGAAAGGAAAAAAGAAAGAGGAGGAGAAAGGAAAAAAGAAAGAGGAGGAGAAAGGAAAAAAGAAAGAGGAGGAGAAAGGAAAAAAGAAAGAGGAGGAGAAAGGAAAAAAGAAAGAGGAGGAGAAATGTGAGAGAGTGCAAGAGTGCCCCAGTTTTTTATGGACTCAGTTACTCAGTGCTAGAGAAGTGTCTGGAAAACTACTGAATAGACAAGAAGTTCATGATACTGACACATGAACATTAAAATCTTTCTAGAAACCAGAATTGTTTTACAGGATAAGACTGGGAACTGCTGGAGTGTTTCAGTCTGGTTTCTCGTTTTAACTACACCAAGAGTTAAGAGCTCCTTATTTCCAGACACTGTCATTCTCCCAGGCAGAAAAAACTCAGGATTTTATCTAGAGGATATGAACACTTTTTGTTGTTGGGGTTTTTTTTATGTAACAAAGGCAGAATGAAAAATTATCTTCCTGTCACCTCCAGTGCCTCAGAGTCAGAGAAAGCAGTAAATATTTATCACCAAAATACAACAAAAAGAGGTAAAGAACATAGAAGCTGGCAAATGGCATTTTGTAGTACTGCAAAATTAAACCTCTCCTTGCAGGAATTACAAACTAGTCGCAGGAGAATCGTGCTGAAAACTTAAACAGGACAGAGGCAACACGGGCTGTGAGTACAGTGGCAAAGTGTTTACTGGTATCTCAGTTACTTGTCAAACAGAGCACACACAGTTCTCCACTATTATTCAGTTTCCCAGCTTCTTCAGGCAACTCAGCAGTTCTTCTTTATCCATGTGGTACCCACTCTTCTTCCATTCATCCCTTAACTGCTGTAGTGCTGCTCCAATTTCTTTTCCAGAAGACACACCCATTTTTCTTAAATCGTGGCCACTAACAGGGAAAGTAGGAACAGTCCATTGCTGCATTTCTCTGAAAAGATGTTCTTCTCCTTGGTATTTCAGAAGCTCGCAGATCCTGGAATTGGTATTAGCTTCTCTAGACTAAAAGACAAGAGAGGATTCAGTAGGAAACAGTAGGAGGCAGCTCCAACTGCACTCAACATTGTGTTGTTTCCATGACATCTCACTAGGCAACATCTGGAACCATGAAAGTTAAGCTCCCTCCAGCCTCAAAAGTTTTAAAACACAGTCCTAACTTGGACTGTGGGAGATTCCTGAGGACTTCTTGAATACCAGGTAATATCTCTAACCATTCTCTTCAACCTCCACCTGCAGAGAAACTCTTACCCTTCCCATGGGAGACAGGCAGAGCTGCAGCCTCTTGCCTTCAGTCTCAGGTGCAGCAATAAACGTGCAGAACCTCACCTGACAACCCTGCTGTGGGAGAACCTCCCAGGGTGCCTCCCTGGCAGTGCTCCTCATGGAGAACACGCCCAGTGCTCCAGGGACTGCACCAGCTCTCAGAACATGTCTCAAGGAGCTGAATTTCACAGGAAAAGCTGGAATCTCTTGAGGTCCGTGTCCCATGGTCACATGCAGAAGGGGAGATCACCAGGAAAGGACAACAAACTGGCAGTCCCTGGGCTGTGTGCACAGGGAACTTCTGCTTCAGGTGACTGAGTGTGTCACTTTAAAAGGCTTTTAAACCCAGTCAAAACACCACTACAGAACACAAGGTGCTCTGAACTGCTAACATTTTTTGTTTAAATAATTTCTTCAAAACTAATGTAAAGTCTCAGTGTTTTGGATGGGAAAGCAAAAAGCTTTTGACTCCCAAGTAGAAATGTCTGCTCTCTATCCTCTTGCAAAAAACTTTACTAAAGGGACAGAGTATTTTTAGACTAAAGTTCTTGCTTTATGTTGCAGAGGTATGGCAGGAACTGCTTGTGATCTCTGCTCCCCTCTCCAGAGGAAAAACAAATCAACCAACCATCTCCCCCTTAGTTAACTGTAACTGGTATCAATAATACAGAAGGATATTCTTCCAGTTACTGTGATACTAGACTGGGAGCAATCCCAATCTGACCAATACTTTATGTCAGTTCATCACATCTTTCTAATGAAAATATCAGTCTTAAAAACCCTGGCAAAACATTGTCTAAGACCAGAATACAAACCTGGTGGCAAAATCCTAGAATGGCTTGGGTTGGGGGGCACCTTAAAGATCATCCAGTCCCACCCCTGCATGGGCAGGGACACCTCCCAGCAGCCCAGGTTGCTCCAAGCCCCATCCAACCTGCCCTTCAGCACTTCCAGGGATGGGGCAGCCACAGCTTCCCTGGGCAACCTGGGCCAGGGTCTCACCACCAGAGATTCTTCAGTCAGTGAAGAATTTCCTCCCAATATCTAACCTAAATCTCCCCTCTTCCAGTTTTAATCCATTCTCTCTTGTCCTCTCACTACAAGTACTTGTGAAAAGTCCCTCCCCAGCTTTCCTGGAGCCCCTTCAGGCACTGGAAGGTGCTCTAAGGTCTCCCTGGAGCCTTCTCCAGGCTGAACAGACCCAGCTCCCTTAGCCTGCCTTTATAGGAGAGGTGCTCCAGCCCTCCCATCATCTTTGTCGCTCTTGCTGGACTGTTCAAGGTCTTTTCTTTCCACTACGAATTGTTATCTCATCTGCTCTGCAAACCTGGAAATTCAGTTTACTGTTAAGAATAAAACAAAGCAGTATGAAATAAACTTACATCCATGATGAAATCCTGATATGGTTTAAGCGGTTCTGGACCCTCAGCTTTGGTTAACTCCTGCCGGTGCTTCACCAAAAAAAGGCCAAGGGTTTTTTCATCTTTTGAGATTTTCAGCCTCAGATCCAGGTTTGTGACATCATCCTTCCCCCTGAACAGCGATGTCAGCACAGTCATTGGCTTTGGACACAGATTTTGAATATTCTTTGTGACTCTGTCGAATTCCTCCAAATTCCCATCAAGTGGTAGTCCTGAAAGGATACACAGGAAAAAGATGCAAGGAAGAGTGTTAATGAGAAAGGTGGATGTTAACACAGGGAGAAAAACAAAATTTATTGCACCCCCATGCAGGAGTAGGAAAGGAACCTCCCTTTCACTTTACCTATGTACTGGGCAATATCCAGCTCGTACATAAGTCGAACCAAATGATTTACATGGTTTCCAAGAAGAATTTTTTTCAGTTCCACCCAAATCCTTTCTCCTGATATTCCAGCCAAACCTTTGGCATTTTCTTTAATTGCTTGCAGTGTGCTAGGATCATGGTCACCAGGTTTTTCTGCGATTCTTCCATAAAACCTGCCCAAATGAAGCCCCTGCATGTTAGGCTGAGAAGCATTATTCCATGTATTACTGCTGTTCAGAGAATGGATGTCATGACAGTGCATTTACAATACTAGAGGAAACAATAATATGACAATTACAACCCTTTTTGCATCACTGATTTGTTTTTGCATGTTTCTGAAACTTTCTACAATGCTTAGTACATTTCTTTATCTAGAAAAGGCAAAACCTAGTACCTGAAATATCTCAGGATTCGTAAATAATCTTCTTGTATTCTCTCACTTGCCTTTCCTACAAATCTTACTTTCTTGTTTTTCAGGTCTTCATAGCCATTAAAAAAATCATACAGCATCCCATCCAAACCTAGAAAAGAAGAAAAAAAAAAAAAAAGAATTTATGAACAAAGATGGCACAACTAAACACTCTGATCTGAAAAGAGAGAAGTTGTGTGATTTGAGCTGGTTTGTCTCAGGTATTTGTACAGACTTCAGCTGACAGCAGTACCTACAAATCATACTGGTTTAATTTGAGCAGCAGTGTATCATCTGAATACTTGCTTTTGAAAGAATTTACCTAAAAACATGGAATTGACAGTCAGGTCCCTCCTTTCAGCATCCTTTTCCCAGTCAGTGGTGAACTCAACCTCTGCATGTCGTCCATCGGTGACAACGTCTATTCTAAGAGTAGTAATTTCAAAATTCTGTTCATGGAGCTGAAAATCCCACAGACATCATTACTTTAACACAATCATCCATACAAATATACAAGCTGCTTATCTTTTTCAGGCTCGTTAGTGCTCAAGCTGGATACATGCGAATCAACACGTATCATGTTTTCATACTGAGCAGACAATCAAAAAACCTTCCTGCAGCAGATGGAATAAGGGGCAGAGGGATGAGCAAGGTAGAAAAGATTTAAGGAATCAGAAGAAGGAAACACTAGGATCAACTTCCCCCTACCATCTGAATGTGTGGGTGGCCTACATTGTCTTTTCTAGTGATGGCAGAGCAGCACAAATGGGTTATGAGGAGTAAAACATGGTTGGTAATTGGATTCTATAAACAAAAAGTAACTGAAAGTCACTCCACACTTTAAAGCAGCATCTCATTCCAACTTCTGGTGTGATATTTTCACAAAGAAGGAGCACACTGCCACTTTTCTATGGGATACACTGCACGTTCATAGACAGAGCTAGAAAAGATCCAAGTCAAATCATAAACCCACCCTGGCAGTAATAGTCCCATGTTTTTCTCCTTTGTTGTTTATCAGACGAACACCAGCAGATGTGAACATTTCCTTCATCTCTGCTGGTGTAGCTGTAGTGGCAAAATCTATATCCTGTGGTGTCATTCCACTTAGCAAATCCCTGACAGCACCTCCTGCTATTCTCAGCTCATAGTTCTTCTTCTCAAACAATTCTGGGAAGGCAAAGGCAAATCATAAAGCACTTTCTGAAGTAAAAACCAGAGCACACTGTCAGCCAGAATCTACCTTTCCACACATTAAAGCCACACATGTAGGAATACATACTCCAATGTGCAGAAAAGTGGCATGTATGCACCTCACAGCCTCATGCAAAGTACACAAAACAGACACACAGCTGAGCACCTGCATGTACCTTCTCAGCCATTTCTGCTCTATTTTTTTCCAGGTTGTTTCTGACAATGTAAACTTTACTAGGTTGCTTAGTGATACAGGGGGACTCTGGAACATTTCCAACAGCCAGCTCTCAACAAGGGAAAACTGCTTAGCTTACTTATGGCAGAGCACAAGGAATCCTGAGCCCAAACTCCTTCAGGAACACCAGCCCAGAGCGGCTGAGGAAGCCCAACTGAGTCATGTTAAAGCAGCAGCCGGCAGAGCTGGAGCAGCACACACCTGAGGGCGAGACAGCACCTCTGCGTGGGCAGGGACATCCCTGCGTGGGCAGGGACACCTCTGTGTGGGCAGGGACATCCCTGCGTGGGCAGGGACACCTCTGTGTGGGCAGGGACATCCCTGCGTGGGCAGGGACACCTCTGTGTGGGCAGGGACACCCCTGCATGGGCAGGGACACCTCTGCGTGGGCAGGGACACCCCTGCATGGGCAGGGACACCTCTGTGTGGGCAGGGACACCCCTGCGTGGGCAGGGACACCCCTGCGTGGGCAGGGACACCCCTGCGTGGGCAGGGACACCCCTGCGTGGGCAGGAACACCTCTGTGTGGGCAGGGACACCTCTGCGTGGGCAGGGACACCCCTGCATGGGCAGGGACACCTCTGTGTGGGCAGGGACACCCCTGCGTGGGCAGGGACACCTCTGTGTGGGCAGGGACACCCCTGCGTGGGCAGGGACACCCCTGCGTGGGCAGG